TGGACTCAGACAGGATCCCAAACACCCCCCCACCACCCACCCCACACCCATGGCCAAGGGACAACGGCAGAAGAACCCGGAGGAGGAACCCCCAAGGAACCGGCGAACAGYCAGATGAAACATCGACTCCAACCATTTGAGTGACCCCCACCCCCGGATGCTGACCAACACCGCCCCCAGCAGATGACGGGACCTGGAGACAATCACACCTCAACGGAGAATCCCTTCGAGCTTCCTGGGCATACTGGTTCCACTTAGCGGTGTTAACGGACAGTGTGTTTTTGAAACCAGGGGCACAGTAAGTATCTACCTTCCCATGTTTCCACCTATAGGAAAAGCACTGTGGGAAAGGTGACTCTTGGGCCTCAGGAGTCTTAATTGCAGCCCAGTCTTCTACGAGGACTAGTCTTGACGCACCCACACCACCCAAACACCTATACCACACATAACGACTGCAAGCTAAAAAATATCTTAATCCCACTTATTAACTGTACAAATAAAGCAGCAGGGCAACCCACACCAAAACTGGCCCCCTGAGAATTATCTTTAACGTCTAAAAAAAAAAAACCAACCCTCAAAAAGTATATTCTCCTAGAAAAGTCATTTTAAACTAATCTAAAACCGTAGAATTAACACACCGGACGGACCATCCTCACATGGGAGGACGGACGGCCAACCAGCCTAAAAACCCAGCACAAAACCACCTAACAAACACAGCAACCCTTTTCTAAAAAATAACACAAAAAAAGAACCTTACCAATCCAATCCTACAATTCTCTCCACTTTCTTCTAACAAAAAAAAGTTAACAAATCAACCGGTTTTAAGAACAAGTTTAACTTTAGAAGAATAAATTAAACTTTGGTTTCATGTAAAAAAATATCACCAAATCACCTGTCATCTGGACACAGGACTTAGCCTCGGGATTTGATCAGCCCGAGGGGCCCCTACTGGCGAGAGCGTCTGGTGATAAATGGCCGAAACGCTTGTTGACCCAATGGACATCACTGAAGATTAAGTCCTGAAATTCTCTTTAGATACAAATTAGATCTGAAGCAGTCCAACTGCCCCAGAGCTAACTACGCAAATGAACTAGGCTACCTTAGAACAACCTAAAAGTACCCTAAAAATTGTACACTCCTAGATACACAACTATATCTTACTTTTCTTCTTTTTCTTCTGTTCAACAGCCAAAACCATGGCACACAGAACCATCACAGAATGGATTGAACTAGCATTCCAATTCATCCTCACCCAGCATAAAAAAAAACACTAACTTGACCTCTGGGAATATTAGGTTAACCTCTCAACCATAGGCCCAACCCTGACACACAACTTAGGTTAACCACTCAAACATAGGTCAACCACTCATAGACCCAACCCTGACCCTTCACTTAGGTCAACCACTCAAACATAAACTCAAACCTGACCATCACTCAGGCCAACCACTCAAACAAAGGCCCAGCCCAGACYCATCATTGAATTTAACTACTCAAACATAGACCCAATCATGACCCTGCACTTAGGTTAATCACTCAGGCATAGAACCAATCCTGACCTACCACTTAGGTTAACCACTTAAACATGGGCCCAACCACTGCCCATTACTTATGACAACCATTCAGACATAGGCCCAATCCTAACCCAAAACCTAAGAATAACCACTCAAACACAGGTCCAACCCTGACCTATTGCCTAGGATTACCACTGGGAAATAAGCCAAACCCTGACACATTACCAAACTAAAAAAAAACCAACAACCCCCACCCCCCTTGCACCTGGTCACATACCCCTTTCTAAACCCCCACCTTCTCCATAAAGTGCACCACATAACAAACACCCAATGTACAGTTTGAGTTTGACTCAAACAGTACGCCTGCACCCACCGGAATATGCAAATCATGYAAGTCGTATTCCACTACAACAGAGGTGTCAAACTCCAGTCCTCGAGGGCCACTATCCTGCATGTTTTAGAGGTTTTCCTGCTCCAACACACCTGATTTTGATGGCTGGGTGATAACAGGCTTCTGCACAATTTGAAGAGTTAATTCAATCACTGAATCAGGTGTGTTGGAGCAGGAAAACCTCTAAAACATGCAGGATAGCRGCCCTCGAGGACWGGAGTTTGACACCCCTGACCTAGTTGTATCTGCAACTGTATTTGATAATGTTTTGAACTTTTAAAATATTACATGGTAAAACAGAGGCTGCTCTTTATATTAGTGACAAACTTTGGTGTTTTTGATGAGTTACTTTCATTTTTGCTTCTACTTTTCATTTAAAATAAGTTTCCATTCTCAGCAGGTTTCAAAGGTTCTTCTTCTACATATTAAAAAGTTGTTAAACATCTGAGTGGTGCACTACTGCTACTAGTGGTGAGAAAGTGTATTACACCTTATTTAAAATCAGTGTGGTCCCACGGCTCATAGGTTAAGAACCTCTGCGTGATGATCCCATCGGTCACGGCCCAGGTTCTGGAGCTGAAACCTGATGTGTGAAGGTTTAGAAGGAGCCTCAGTGAGCTCAGGACCAGTTGTGTTGTGATGAAGCAGAGTTTGTGTGTCTGCAGGCCACCTTCCACACCCCCTTCACTCAGCTGGGCCAGAGCGCCGAGGGCTGCTCCTCCTACACCTTCCCCAAACTTATGGGCGGCGCCAAGGTAGAGAAAGCCCGTGTGCTGAGCAGAACCTGTGCTGCGTGTCCAGCTGTGAACCTGGTTGTGTGTGTGTGTGTGTGTGTGTGTGTCTGCAGGCCAGTGAGATGCTGCTGTTCAACAAGAAGCTGACTGCGGTTCAGGCCTGTAGACTGGGTCTGGTTACTGAGGTCTTCCCTGACAGCAGCTTCCAGTCTGAGGTCTGGAGCAGACTGAAGGCCTACGCTGAGCTGCCTCGCAACGTAAACACACACACACACGTTTCCACATTACAGTTTAACACACACACATGTTTCCACATTACAGTTTAACACACACACACATGTTTCCACATTACAGTTTAACACACATGGAACATGAGACTCCTCCTGTCAGACAGGGTTCAGGTTTTACACATCTGAAGGTTGGAAAGAACAGAGTTACACAAACTGAGCTGCAACTAAATGTTGCTCAGTGAAGACCCTGAACTGTCTCTGTCCTCTGTGTCTCTGTCCTCTGTGTCTCTGTCCTCTGTGTCTCTGTCCTCTGTGTCTCTGTCCTCTGTGTCTCCGTCAGTCTCTGGCTCTGTCCAAACAGCTGGTCCGTTCTGTGGACAAGGAGCATCTGTACAAAGTGAACGATGCAGAGGTGGAGCTGCTGATGGAGCGCTGGTTGTCAGACGAGTGTCTGAGCGCCGTCATGAGCTTCTTCCAGACCAAAGCCAGGCTGTGATGGAGCTGCAGGAGGTGAAGCCAGGCTGTGATGGAGCTGCAGGAGGTGAAGCCAGGCTGTGATGGAGCTGCAGGAGGTGAA